AGCAAGCCTAGAATATGATAAAAAAAAAATAGGTGTCTCGCATTCCGGGTACGTGCCAATAAACATCAGCTGAGATCAACTCCTCCAGTTGACGTTAAAATAATTATTTATAATCCGGTATTTATTCCCATTTAGTTTACTACAGTTTTGTCTGGGGTGAAACCACACCACAACAATCCTGATAAAATGTACCTTCTTTGAAAAAAATATGTTAATATCTATCTACAATGCCCCTTGTGCTTTCAACACTGTGATTATGTTCATTGATTTGCAGATAATAAAAATGGATAACTTTTATAAATATAAATTATGCATCACTATAAAAAACATGAAAAAAAAAACTCTGACGTTTCTAAAATCCAAGACGGAGGCTACAAAGAAGGGACAAACAGAAGACGTCTCAAAACACAGCTACTAAATTTTATTCAAGACACTCCTTTTATACCCATCATCTCCACACCGCCCTCCACTTGCACACGATTACAATCGTCCGGGGTGTTTCTTCGGTGGATGAAAGTGGCCTTGGCCATTGTGTTGAGGGCGTGGTCCTCTGTTTCCTGTGGACACTTTCACCATCCTTTGTAGTCGTGTGTAAACTCTAGCGAATCATCTGGCCGTGTGCAAGTGGAGGGCGGTGTGGAGGTGACGGGTAGAAAATAAGTGTCTTGAATACGACTAAAATAATCCCTGGAGAAGGGGAACAAGAGGGGCAAAGGACAGATACAAATCTCCAAATACAGCTGACTTGTGCGCAACCGAAAAAATCCGCCTGGTCCGGGTATCGAAGCCGGGACCTCTCCATTTCAGGTGGAGCGCTGTACCAACTGAGCTAACCAGGGGTTAGACGTCGGTAGAGCAAACGGGTTTTATCAGGCGCCACCAGTGTAACACCAACAAGGGTGCCTTTTAAGGTTATTATATTTGCCATTTAAGGTTATTATATTTAAATTAAATGCAAAGGTGCAAACGAGCTGGACAAGAATGACGAAAATAATCCCTGGAGAAGTGGAACAAGAGGGACAAAGGACAAACACAACCTGGTCCGGGTATCGAAACCAGGACCTCTCCATTACAGGTGGAGGGCTGTACCAACTGACCCCTGGTTAGCTCAAATGGCACAGCGCTCCACCTGTAATGGAGAGGTCCCGGGTTCAATACCCGGACCAGGCGGATTCTTTTCGGACGCGCGCCAGTCACATAGCTGTGTTTGGAGATTTGTGTTTGTCCTTTGTCCCTCTTGCTCCCCTTCTCCAGGGATAATTTTCGTCATTCTTGTCCAGCTCGTTTGCACCTTTGCATTTAATTGCATTCTAATAATATGCCTTGAATACAATTTAGTAGCTGTATTTTAAGACGTCTTGTGTTTGTCCCCCCCTTGTAGTCTCCGTCTTGGGTTTTAGAAAGGTTTAACTTTAACCAGCTCGTCTGCCTTATTATGTTATCTCAATAAAAAGCTCAGAATTTAAAAGAATTCGTTTATTTAGAAGAAAATATTATAATTTAAGTGACCCGCCAGAATGAGTATCGGAAGGTTCTTAATCCAGATCAAATCGTGTACAATAAGTGGTTAGGTATATAGTTCGTAGGTTCCTGAACAGCTGCGTAAATATAAACTTGAAATTACATGCCGTTAAGCAGTTACACTTCTTTTTTATTGATGTTTGAATATATAATGTGAATTTCCTACTTACTTATTAAAAGTAATTTTAGTTTTAAAATTGTCATGAGGCACACCAGACTATAAATGATAGAGTAATATTTCATCCTGGGATGCACGCAGGGGTTAAATAAAAAACTAATTGTCACACAAAATAAAAAGGCTCCAAATAGTAAAACTTCACGGCTGATTAAACTTGAGAAATAGGTGTTACGAAATTGTTTGTTTGGAATCTTTTTTGTGAAGTTCAATACAGGAAACGTAAATAGTTAATGCGTTCTGGATTCTCATCAAAACTCAGGCAGTTTCGTTTGAATATTCTTCTTCCCACAATGGTTTAGTGCGACGCAAGAAATGGGGTAAATAGTTTGAGCAAATACGTGCTACATCTCGAGATCTCCCACTCCTTTCAATGTCAGAGTACTCTTGCCTCCACAAGCACGCTGTCGTCCCCTCCGGAACAATTATTGATGCCTCCGCATATGCTGTCCAAAAACTAAAAGAAAAGGGTAAAAACCAAAAAAGAAAGTGATTCAGTTAAAAAGCGATGAACAGTCTCCCGTTTTCAAAATTACATCTGGCAACTTTGATCACAATTATCATTTGAGTGTATGGCATCTGTGCCAAAATTCGTTGGCGGCTTGTTTGGATGAGGACAGACATTGAGAACATTAATAAATGAAGGATATGTGAGTCCTCTACGTTCGAGACGTCTCGATATAACACGACGCACGAATTAGATACAGTGTATGCGTTTATTTAGGAGTGTGATCCAATCAATTTATTTTTATGAGTCTGGCTCAAATAACTTTTGATGAAAGAAATTTAATCGAGAGGCTCACGGAACGCCGCTTTGTACTGGCTAATTTATATGTTCACATCATCTAAAACGAAACAAACCAAGATAACATTATGAGGTGATCGAATAACCAGATCTCAACAAGGCGTGGAGTTAGACTAGTTGGTTGGACATGTTAGTTGGTTTGATATTTTGGTGCGCTTTAAAATACCCAGGCTAGCAGTCGTACTGCGTTGGCTAAATTGTTCATCTACAGTGGGTAATAATGTCGCCCTGTTCTGGCAGACTATGCTCCCAGTGTATAAACAACTAACGACTAATTTGTTTTTTGTTTTTGTTTTGCCCGATAAAATACAGTTTTATGAACGTGATCATTCGACTGCTGGGATAAACGTATTTGTGTGGAATAGCTAAAAAAAAAAAGGGGGGGGGGGGAGAACGTCCAACCAAACCCTAATATGGAGCCCTAAGTTTTGATGCCTACTGGGCTATTCTTCACACGTGACTGTTGCGATGGCCGTTGAGGAGCAGTGTTTTCTTTTTGGTTGTTTTTTACGCTGGTTCATTTCTATTTGAATTCGTGATGTCTCGAAACCCTTGGACATACGCGAATGGTAATGCACCCAGAGATATATTTATGTTTTTTGGCGTAGTTTGGATGTGCCTCAAGTCCAAGATAAGTCGCCGGCGGTGGTTCATTTCAACGTTGATAACGTTGAAAGAACACCCGCATTCTCAACTTTGAAACCAGCCAATAGCAGCAACTTTTCTTGAAGTTGTGGCACATACAATCTACAACAGAATACACCAATATACCTATTGACGCTTTATGACCCGCGTACTTCCACAGGCTTCAGAATATCACCAACTAAAAAAACGCACCTCAAGAAACGAAGACGAAAGAGCCTGATCACTGACGGCCCTCTGTTACAATGAACCAGAATATAGCGGCAGTTAAAAAAGCACCGGCGGCGCCCCATCGGCCGTGTGAAGCCAGAAGTGTAGACTGCCACGAGTGGCGCTGTTGTCGAAATCCGGAGGACATGGCTACTGTAACATGGGATATGGCGTCGCGCACATCCCCAGATGGTTCGTGTGGTGTCTATGGTCGTTTTCGCAAATTGTTTTCATGAATGTCTTGTGCTTGCCATTGCGATTACTTGGGTTAGAGTCTTGTCCCAATCCATGAAAACGAAGAGAAAGAAGACGGATGCCACGGCTACGCGCCAGCATGCAAGACCGCTTACCCCTGTTTTCACTACAGTGCCGAAGTAAGCTCTAAACATTATTTCATAGGCGTTGAAACGCCCATAACGCATATATAGGCCAAACTGATGAACCGCTAAGATAAAAGACAGCTACGCTTGGTGCGAACTTCGCTTGCAGGATTGCTCCGGAGTCGAACACCAGCGCCACCTGGTAGGTTCTAGACAAAGCGCCTCACCTGAAGGCCGGCTAGTTCACTGTAGCAAAGCCTCCTTTACTGAAAATGCCTGCCCAATAGTTTCTTTGTCGTCGTCGCGCCTACTTCACATATTTGCAACTAGGGGGCGCCGAAAGCTCATATGGATATGCAGACGACGCTTTTGTCCGGTGTCTGCTGCTACAGTTCACCGTAGCTAGCGGAAGCTACGTTATCACTTTAAGTTCGCTTATAACGTAAGTTTTCCATGTTATGTTACGCGGTAACGTGACCATAAGTGATCAAATAGGTCCTTGATCACGTAATTTTTTGTGACATGAGAAACGATTCTTTCGGTCGTCGTTTGACTCGCAGAGCTCTAGAGCCATAGCCGGCATAGCTCAATAGCACGAGGCTGCCTGCGGCTCCTGGCACGCACGGCGTGACGCCACACGTACACGCGCGGTCACTTCATTCCATTTATTGGTCGTGGGCTCTTCAGCACCTTGCACTTAGTGCCGACTCCTGGTGCTGCATTCTAAGTCGCATCATGCCTTACTGTTGTGCGCCCATGTGCAACTCGGACTCGCGAAAGAAGGTGCCGGGGCTGTCGTTTCATGAGATTCCAAGCAACACCGACGACTGTAAGAAGTGGATTAATCTGATATCAAGAAAAGACTGTGTTATAGTGTGACGTAGCAAATTACTGCGTGCTGAATCGCGGACCAATCGGCGCGTGCCGTGGGATACCATTATCTGTATATAAGCGCCGCAGTTGGAACGCTGTCCTGACAAGTTAGTGTAGCAGCGTGGCGCTGCAAGTCACGGCGCACCACGGCGCATCGGCTGTGCGCACCCCGGTCACGGATGTCACGTGACAAGCGCCTATAAGTATAGCACGTTCAATAAAGAAGGTCTCTTTGCCCGTTGGAATGTCGTCTGCTCAAGTTAGCACATTGGCGACGAGGATGACAACGCACCCGCGCTGCCCAGCGGAAGCGTCGCAGACGGCAGCAGACGAGCACCATACGAGCGGGGCCAACTGAACGGACAGCGACAGCCAAAGCAGCGCAGTCATCGCATCTCAAGTGGGCGACGGACGGAGCGGACACGACGGACGGAAGCCAGCAAGCGATAAGTACACCGTCGGTTTGCCGAAATATGGCACCTCTTGGAAAGCTTGACGAATACGACGAAAAACAACAGAATTTTGACTCGTATTTAGAGCGTTTCGAGCACTTCGTTAGCGCAAACGACATCAAACCAGAAAAGAAGCTAGCGGTGTTCTTGACCGTTATAGGACCTCGAGCTTACGAAGTTCTGAAAAGCTTGGTCGTACCGGCAGTACCGGGAGATAAGTCGTTCGAAGAAGTGAAAGTTTTGCTGAAAAACCACTATAGCCCGAAGAGCTCGGTCATAGCGGAAAGGTGCAAATTCAACAGACGTGTACAAGAGGAACAGGAGAGCGTTGAAGATTTCATTGTAGCGCTAAAGCATTTGGCAAGGAAGTGTGACTTTGGCCAGTTTCTGCAAGATGCTCTGAGGGACAGGCTTGTGGCGGGAATACGGCGCGAAGAAACGCAACGTGCGCCATTCGCCGAAGAAAGCTTAACCTTCGAAAGGGCATGCAAGATCGCATTGGATCAAGAGCAGGCCGCACGACAGACAGCGTTACTACACGCCGGAAGCAAAGACGCGTCGTTGAACGAGATAAGAGCGAACCAGAAAGATAACGTCAATAAGCGTGACGTTCGAAAACACAAGCAAAGCAAGAAGTCTTGCGAAAGATGTGGAAGGGCGCATGCGGCAAGCAAATGTTGGTACAAGAATGCTACGTGTCACAAGTGTGGCAAGTTAGGCCATTTGCAAAAAGTGTGCTCGAACGAGAAAAAGGGACCCAAGAACGCGAATGCAGTGGACTGCTCGGAGGACGATTCAGAACTGGACGTCTATCACTGCCTTAACACGGTGCGTTCGGGTTATGAAGTGAAAGTCAATGTTGAAGGGGCGGACGTTTTCATGCAAATTGATACAGGAGCGGCTGTAACAATTGTTCCTGAAAGTGTTGCGAAAACCGCGTTCCCTCATGTCAAGTGTGAGCCATCTCGGGTAAACCTAAAAACGTACACGGGTGAACGAATCCCGGTAAAAGGGCAATGTGACGTTTCCGTCACATACGAAAACCAAACTTTGAAACTGCCCGTTATCGTCGTCGATAACCAAGGCAAGAAATTGCCGTTGCTCATGGGCGGAACTGGCTTGAGAGGCTCAGACTTGATTGGAAAAGCGTCATGTCACTGGAGCATGTAACTGATTCACACCGAATAGAAGCGCTGCGTAACAAGTTCCCGACAGTATTTTCTAATCAGTCTAGTGTCACGAACAACTATCAAGCGAAGATAGTTCTAAAACAAGATTGTAAGCCGGTTTTTTGCAAGGCGAGACCGGTGCCTTACGCGTTACGCGATAAGGTTGGAGAAGAGCTGGACAGGCTAGAGAAGAGCGGGGTTTTACGCCGCGTAAGTCACAGTGAGTGGGCGACTCCGGTAGTTGTAATTCACAAGAAAGATGGATCACTCAGGTTGTGCGGGGATTACAAAGTAACGATCAACCCTGTACTAAAAACCGACCATTACCCACTGCCGCGACCTGAAGATCTGCACACTGCCATCGCAGGTGGCAAAGTGTTTTGCGTGCTGGATCTTTCTGCTGCGTATCAGCAGGTACCGCTGGCTGCCGAGTCCAAACCACTTTTGACTATAAACACGAACATGGGGTTGTTTCAGTTCCAACGCCTACCGTTTGGTGTGGCCAGTGCGCCAGCCATTTTTCAGTCCTTCATGGACGAGGTGCTTAAAGGCATACCTCATGTGGGATGCTACATTGATGACGTCATCGTGTCTGGAAAGGACACCCAGGACTGTCAAAAGACGCTGGAATGCGTCTTGCGTCGACTTCGTGACTACCATGTCACTTTGAAAACGGACAAGTGCCGTTTTTTCCAAAGCTCGGTGACCTACCTTGGTCACACGGTGAGTGCCGATGGCATTTACCCGACAGAAGCAATGACAAAGGCTATCACGGAAGCGCCCGAGCCCACCTGCGTAACGGAACTGAAGGCGTATTTGGGGATGCTAAACTTTTACGCCAAGTTTCTCAAGAATGTTTCGTGCGTAGCTGAACCGCTTTATCGGTTGTTGAAAAAAGGTGAAAAGTGGTCGTGGACTCGGAAGTGCAGCGAGGCCTTTGCTGCTACGAAGCAGTTGCTCGTAAACAGCCAGGTTCTTACGTTCTACGACGTAGACAAGCCAATTGCATTGCTGTGTGATGCTTCATCGTACGGGATTGGTGCTGTCATTTTTCATGTAACACCAGAAGGGGAAGAGCGCCCAGTGGCGTTCGCGTCGCGAACGCTCACGTCAGCGGAAAAGAACTATGCGCAGTGCGAGCGGGAAGCGCTAGCTCTGATGTTTGGTCTGAAAAAGTTCCATCGCTACCTGTATGGTAGGGAGTTCACTCTCTATACAGACCATCAGCCACTGCTTGGCATACTGGGGCACGATAAGCCTGTACCTACGCTAGCGGCAGCTCGAATGCAAAGATGGGCAATGATTCTTGCAGCCTATAGGTACAAACTCAAGTACCATAAAGGAAAAGCTGTCGAGGTGGCTGATGCTCTGTCTAGACTCCCACGACCGATGACAACAGCTGACGACCCTGCTGAGTCTTTTGTTGTTTGACAGTACTCCTTTGATCGCGGAAGACGTAGCTAGAGCTACAAAACGTGACTTGACCTTGTCTCGCGTAGCTAACTACGTTCTGAATGGATGGCCTGCCCAAAGTAGCGAAGAGCTAAAACCGTACCATGTACGACGTGACGAGTTGTCATTTGAGCAAGGCTGCGTCACCTGGGGCTCAAGGGTGATTGTACCTGAAAAGCTGCAGTCACAGGTTTTGGCACTGTTGCATGAGGACCATCCAGGTGCTAGCCGCATGAAAATGCTTGCCAGAAGTTTTGTATGGTGGCCAGGGCTAGACCTAGAAATCGAGAGCTACGTACGACAGTGTCGCGTATGTCAGTCTGTTCAGAACGCTGCTCCACCTGTACCGTTACAGCCATGGAGCTATCCAACTAAGCCGTGGCAACGTGTACACGTGGATTTTGCTGCTAAAGAAGGCCATGTCTTCCTAGTACTGGTGGATGCTTTCTCGAAATGGATCAAAGTGTGGTCCATGTCTTCCACCACTACTGGTAAAACACTCGACAAATTGCGAAGTGTATTTGCGGCTTATGGGCTACCAGAGGTACTGGTGAGTGATAACGGACCTCAGTTTGTTTCAGATGAGTTTTCTGAGTTTATGAGGGTGAATGGCATCAAGCACGTTAAGACGCCACCCTATCATGCTGCCTCCAACGGCGCAGCAGAGCGTCTTGTGCAGACCACAAAAAAAAAACTCTGCTGAAGCAATTGTTAGACGAGAAACAGAGTGGCAAGAAACACTCTTTGCTCGAGCGTTTGGATAGCTTTTTACTGAGCTATCCAAACACCCCAAACAGTACCACTGGTCGCACTCCAGCCGAGCTGTTTTTGAAGCGACAGCCACGAGTGAAACCTTCTTTGCTTAAACCCGATTTTGTAAAAGCCATGCAAAACAAACAGCAGCACCTGAAGGAACAGAGTGATGCGTCGCGAGGTGCTAACCGGTCTTCTGTTGTGGGTGATACTGTGTTGGTCAAAACGGTGCGAGGCGAGCTAGTGTCATGGGAAGAAGGTGTGGTGACTCAAGTCGTCAGTCCTGTGACATATTTAGTGAAAGTGGCGCAGGTTGTGCGGTTCACACACGCCGACCACATCCGAGACCGCCTTGCAAGCCCGACGTCCCTTACTGCCCCGCCTACGCCGGAGGAGCCTACGCTCCCAGATGTTCCGGTGCCTCGAGAAACCCAGCCGATGGTGCCACAAGTTGCTTCTGCTGCTATGCCAGCGGACTCTCAAGCCGGCAGTCAACAAGCTACACGGACGCGTCAGCAGCCGCTTCCACCACCGAGTTCCACAAGTGCGCCAGTGACGACACCGGAGCCTTGTACTGAGGCACCGACTTCCAGAAGAAGTAAGCGAGTGCGGCGTCCACCGGACAGGTACAAACCGGAGGACTTCCGAAGCTGATGTGAGGGGGAAGGAATGTAGCAGCGTGGCGCTGCAAGTCACGGCGCACCACGGCGCATCGGCTGTGCGCACCCCGGTCACGGATGTCACGTGACAAGCGCCTATAAGTATAGCACGTTCAATAAAGAAGGTCTCTTTGCCCGTTGGAATGTCGTCAGCTCAAGTTAGCACAGTTAGTACAGACTGAATGTCAAATTTTTCCTCCTGCTACTCAACGGCATGTAGTAGGTACTTTCTTCCAACGGACTTCAAAGAAGGGTGTAAAGTTAGGCGGCTATGAAAAGGTGCCGAACCAAGCGTATTTGAAGGTTATCCTTCCTACATGCAATCGTCGACAAAAAATTCAAGACCTAACAACGCGATTGTGAAGTGCAACAGGGCACACAATATTCTTAACACCACCGTTCTTGCTCTACAGTCAAGTGAAACCGGTGTCAACGCCGTGGACGATACAGGTGTTACACACGATCCCATGAAGTTGTATGCGTGTCCCTCGGACCCTAAAGTCACCGAGATGAATGCCGACATTCGAGGTGCGACTTCCTGCCGGGTATGCCAGAGGTGGAAGAAAGGTGCGCGATATTAAGCTGCAGGTTGCGCGGATAAAACACAGAGTTGATAGCTACAAAGAAACGCTGGAGAAGATCAAGGAGGACCCTTATATACCGTCATTTCGGTGCATGATTGAAAAAGAAAATGAAAAGGATCTCGGGGCAAAATTTCCACTTGACCATGCAGGCCAACAACTTCAATAAGAAGAGACCCACATGGCCTGAAACAACAGCACGGCATGCTGCGATTCTCAGGAACCTTTCTACCAAGGCGTACGAGTACATGAAGGGTGAAGGCCTGCTCCAATTGCCAGGACGCAGTACACTGCAGCGCTACATTGGAGGGATGAGCGGTGAGGTAGGGTTTACACCATTAGTCCGAGAGAGACTCAACTTTGAAGCACAGAACTTGGCAGTACAACAGTCTATAGTATGCTCCCTGGTCGCTGACGAAATACGCATAAAACAAAGTTTTCAATACCAGAAGCAGAGGGATGCTTTCGTCTGTGAGGTGAATCTTGGCCAAGGCTTTGACGGTGTCACGGTCAATAACTGCAGCCGAGCCCGTGCTTGCCAATTCCCTACTATGCTTTGTGCTCAGCGGTCTCACAGTACGGTTACGTAGACCCGTGGGGCATTTCTTCACAAAGGGATGCGGAGGGTTGTTGCTGTCCAGCATGATGAAATTCATTATCAGAGAGGTAGAGGCCAATAGGTTTATTGTTACCTGCATTGTGACTGACAGTCACAGGGCAAACGTCCTCGCAATGCAGACCCTTAGTGGTGGACATCCCACGCACTGCATCGAGCATCCCAACGACGGCTCCCGAAAGCTATTTGTTGCGTCTGATCAATGTCATCTGATTAAGAATGTTTGCTCACAGTTTCTTGCAAGAGACCTCGGATGGTGCTGGGGAAGTGAGCTTCGTTCACCTAAAGAACATGTATAAGCTACAATGCAACAGTCCTTTAAAACCAGTTTGTTTTCTGCCGAGGCAGCATGTCTTCCCTAGCAACCTGGAGAAGATGAACGTGCAAAAAGCAGTACAAGTCTTCTCACCACCGGTGACTGCAGCATTGCAGTTTATGCAACAGCAAACAGGCCACGCATCTAGCATATGTTATGGAAGTGTTGGACCCAAGGTGAAATTTATGAAGAATGCTCACAAGTGGTTCCTCTTAATGTATGTGAGCAACTGCACACAACATATCCACCAGAATCTTCTCGAGAGCAAACTATGCTATTCTGTAGACGATATCCGCCTTACCTGGCTCGAAACAACATTCGTGAAGTACCTGCAAAATATGGAGTCACGAAGTTGCGCAAAAAACTTCCTCACGCGTGAAGCCTTCCAAGCATTGCTGATGACTATTGCGTTTAATGTGGGGTGCATCCGCTACCTACTCACAGAACAAAACTTCAGGTTCGTCTTGACACGGAAATTCTCTTCTGAACCCATAGAATCGTTCTTCGGGTGGCTTCGAAGGTCTACTGGCAGCAACGACCAGATGGACATGAGGGCTGCCATTTCTGGCCTGGAGAGAATATTGAAGACAAGGATAATCTCTGCCCCCAAGGACGGCAACGTGGCGCACTTGTCGAGCTGTCAAGCACTCCCTCTGCCTGCGAACAAGAGCGCAGGAAAGGAAGAAGCAAATGCTTTCCCCAAGGAAGCGAAGGCCGTCTTCGAAGCTGACTTGACGCGAACATACTACTTCCTTCCCACCCGTGAGATATCGGCCATCTCTATGGTAGGCGGATAGTTGGCACGGGTGGGGAAAGAACATGTCAATTGCAGTGACTGCTTCGTACTGGTCATTAAGCAGGCTCCTATGACTGACACCCTACAGTGATTTCCTCATGAGACACCGGCACAGGGGAAGACTATACTATCCATCAGACAAGCTGATGAGGGTGTTGTATGCGCTGAAGAACTTGCTAGGGGGTTTTACTGAAAAAACGAAATATGCTGGAAAAGCCTTTGTATGCAGCCGCTGAGACTGCAGTGATACACTTATCCACCATGGGTCTCTGAAATGCGCAAAGCAGAGAAAGGTGTCAACCGTTACAAAGATTTCCTGCACATTTTGTGTACTATTTATCTCAGGCCAATTTTCACAAACTAGTCCGCATTTGTGACTTACAAGCATGACCTCAGAAAGATATTCAACAAGCTTCTATCTAGGAAATTGTCAAAGCTCTAGAACTGCATACGTGAAAAACAGGGCGGACCACAAGAAACCGGTCAAAACATCAAGGGGCTGTGCACCTAAAGAAAGCAAAGGAAATAGAAAATGTATTTTAAGATCCCCGGTCAGAGTGCTGCTGACGGGTGCGCAGGTTTTCGGTCAGCGAAAACTCATTCGCAGTTTTCAGAAAACCACTTGTCTCAGGACACGGCTCTGCTCCAAAAGCAGTAAAAACGCTAAGTGGTCGCTGTTTCAACGTTGTGAAGGACTGCCAGCCTGTCTGTCTCCTTTTTATTTTGATTGACAATTAATGCTTTCGTTATGACAAGGTCCGGCGACATCTCAGCACAGAAACAAACCCAAGACGTGAAAGCTAAAAGAAAGGTTATAACTGATGGTGTCCTGCGTTAGCTTCATAGCAGGGGTTAAAATGTATTCAATTCAAAAACGGCGTCACAGTGGACTGCCGCAGCGAGCAGCGGAAAAACGTCGTCTGCAGTTTTGTAAGGGGTTTTGGCGCCTCTAGCAGCAAATATGTGAAGCAACCATTGGGCAGGCATTATGAGTATAAAGGAGGCTATGAATGTAGCTCTTTTTTTAAAAATAAGAAATTCAACGGTGCGTCTATCGACCGAACGGCGAGCGTCATGCCACGTGGGACCAAGAATGAAAGCGGCGGGAAGTGCCGACAATATTCTCGCCAGAGGTGTGCAAGCATGGTGCCTGGAATGCGTCCCCGAATGGTGCGATTGCTCCTTCCAAAAGAAGTAGTCCCTCGATTTCCGCCTGATGACGTCATACAAGTGTCACGCTGTCGCCGGTCACGATCCTGGCGGTGTCTCAGCAGCTGGGGTGTCCGTGGCAGACGCCTGTTGTGCTGCAGGTCGCTCTCCACTTTGTCAGTCCAGGGAAGCTTCAGTAGCCAGAAGTTGGGACGTCATGACGACAGCGACACTCTCGTTCGCTCGTGCTTTCTGCCAACAATTCTACGACCAACCGCCAGGATCGCGACATCCGACAGGAGGACACTCCGGCTTCTGTGACGTAATTTGTCCCCACTTCGGGAGCGCTGGGCAGCATATTACCCTAAACACACCAGTCGGAGACGCGCTTTAGGCACCAAAGCACAACCAAGTTCCACTGGCTCAGGTTCTGAGTAGGGCACGTGCTCTGCTGTTCGTTTGTTGTTTCACCATGGTTGAACATCTACACCATACAGTTTTACGATACTTCTAGTGCTTTTTCTCGAGACGTTGGTAGGGGCTGCAAGACCAAACCATCACTGAAAACGTCCTAAAAGACAAATCTTCATTTTCGGGACCGCGGGATTTCGGATGGCGGGACACGCTTTCATGAAGCCACCGATACAATGAAAAGAGAGGAAGGAAGCACAAAACAAGTTGTGAGCACCAGTGTATCAGAATGTGGTGGCCCTCTAAGAGATGCATCTAAAATCACGTTACCTCAATATATGTCGCACTCCTTCTTTTTCACTTTGGCGGTGCGTTAATAAGGATGCCGCAAAAAAAAAAAAAAAAAAGATCTTTATTTTTTTTTTGTTTTATTTAGGCGAATGAATTTTTGGTTTCCTTATATTGGAAGCCGCGAGGAAAGCTCATCTAGAAAGTTATAGATAACGTACCTTAACAGACAACTCAATTTACCAAAAAAAAAACGCATTCTTCTCTAGGAAATGCACAATTATAATCATGCTGGATTTAACTAGCCTATTGTTATAATTTTAAATCAAAATGTGCCAGGGATTTATTAAATGGTTTGAAGAGTACACGGATATGAGTAGCGTCTACTGCCAGAAAGGGACACTATTTCACTCTATAAATAGTCGCAAATCGGTGATAACTTCAAATCAAAGACCACTCACTTTTGAAACACTAAAATCTAGCTACAGCCAATAATTAGCCCGAAATTCGGGTGGAGTCTAAGCTGTCAGCGATACGTAATTTATTTGAGCAGTATAAAGTTTTTTTTCTCCCAAACAACCTTTACTTAAAAGTAGTATTTTTGCAATGGCTTCTTCAAACCCCACCAATAACGTAGCAGACCTGCCTACTTACAGCAATGGTGACGCGGGGACTTGGGTTTGGTTTTATTTGAAGCATAAAGTGCACGCAGGAGTTGAAGAAGTGCTTAGTCGCCCGTCCAATGTCGCGTGCCAAGAGAAAACCTGAAATGGGAAACAAATCAGAATGTAGTTGGTGTGAGTCCGAGGGCACAGACGTAACACTGCAGGAAACCGTGCTATGTGAAATATTTTTTGGCATCGTTGCTTAAGCATATATAAAAGCACGAAACTGCGTGCTTAATTCTTGAAGCGAGCAAACAAATCTTAACGAATAATGCGAACGTGAATAAGGCCCGATCAAGAGATCGGGCCTTATTCACGCCGATCGAATAAGGCCGATCGGTCGTAGCCCGATCGAGAGTTCGCGCTACGACCGCCTAATACCTCAAGCACAATGTCCACCGTGCTCAGAGCTTACGCGCGTTCTAAATCAGGACAGACTTTCCGCCTCATATTTTTACCGAATGACCTAAGTTTATTGAAATGATTGAAACTCCACCGGTTCTGTACAGTGCTCAACGAAACGAGATGGACCAGCGGAGCGCGAGGACTTGCGCCCCTGTGGCGCCATCTGGAGGGAGAGGCGGTCTATCTGGTGTCGCGAGTTGGTTGCACATGCCCACGGCTGACCCAAGCACTCAGCGGCTGTTCGGGCTCGGTGCCCAGCCCCTGATAGTTGATCAACGCTGGCTATGAGTTTGCAACATGTCAGCGTCACATTAGTGTCAGCAGGGAAACTGACACAAATAAATTTGCTGTAGCCATTGCCCTATTTTTTGTAACCTTAATAAGATTACACCGGGTTTTTGTTTATTAAATATCTGTGTTGTTTTATGTTGAAGTCTTCACTCCCTCGTACAAGCCCTTGGGAGTTTAAGGAAAAATAAATGATGTATATGATGACAACGTGCTAATAACGAATCATTTTTTTTATATAGCACTAGGGTTTAGCGTTTCAATATATTGCAGATAAAATTCTAAATGCAGTCGACGGTACATATATTTCGAATTATAATTTATCAAAAAAAAAAAAAACAATTTGGGGACTACTGGTTCTCAAAACCTGATCGCGGTTGTCATCTTTT